AAAAAATGTGACAATAGACTATATTATACATGTATCTGTGCGAAACAAAATAGAGGGAAATCTCTCTCCCATTTGTGTGCATGTGCCAAGTGGGGGAGGGGGGCAGTGCGGATGGCTGTGAGTATTTACACAACATGCCGTATTTTACGAATTCGTAAGAATAACGGCGAATAGGTTTGAGAAGTATGCGAATCGATGAGAAGAGACGAATCGATCTATTTTTAATCTCAGAGAAACGTGTCCTGTCCCTACGTAGCCTAATAAGCGTACACATCGATTCGCAATGAATTTGCAGAATGGGTTTGTCAGTTGGTGGATCCATTTTCAACCGGAGCAGTTCGTAATACGAATTTGCTAATTCGTATTTACGAATCAATCTAGTTCCAAAAACAGTGAACACGAATTCGTAAACTAATTTTACGAATTATTTGCGAATTGATCAGCATCGTGTTTGATCTGTTCTCTGTTTACGAATTCTTCTTGCGAATTCGTAAAAGCTTTTAAGAGTATCCGTACGAATTCGCTACAGTTCGCATCAATTCGGTACGAATTCGCAAAATAAGGGTAAAACGCGAATTGTTGCATCATTTTTACGCTTAAAAGTTGCGATTCGTCAATTCGTCTTTAGACACTTTGTCCACACATCTCTATGATCAATTTTGTTGAGCAGAAAAAGTCGTCCATCTCACTTTCTGACCTAGCAAAATGACTATATGACATGAGCACTTTCCATTTTAAGCAAATAAACTACAATAAATTTGCAACATTTTAGCAAAACTCCGAACTTTATAGATCATTTCATTTTCTGAGAAATATCAATCATAAATTAATATGAGGAGTTTATGATCACTTTTGTTGACTACTGTAACCCAAAATGTGTTCTTCAAAATGGCAGTCAAGCGACGTCTTGAACTTCACGATAACATCAAAACTAGCATCTTCAGAAACAGCCTGAAAATCCTAATTTCCGTAAAACACCAGAACTTCACGATATGGTCAGTTTTTTCTGCTAAACGTGATTAATCGATCGAAAAAATCGAAAAATCATGTTTTTTGATCAAAAGTTTTTTAGAAAATCTTTTGAGAAACGATAGGGTTTTGTGAACTGTTTTTGAAAATTTTTTAAATAAATGTGATGTAGAACATATAAGAGGAAAAGAGCAAAAATGTTAAAGTGTACACGTGCTTAAAGAACCTGGAAGAAAATTTTAATGAAACTCTTGTGCCATCAAAATCATCTTAATGACACTCGTGTTAAAGTTTTTTAAATGAAAGTATCAGACCTTCGTTAAAAAAATTTTTAATGAAGGTTCCGGTACTTTCTTGAAAAGAAAACGCTTTAATGAAAGTTTTTTAATGAAAGTCACTCAATCCATGCTTTTCAATAAACTTTGCTATGCACTTAACCATCATGTCACTTTTATTTCAGACGATTAACAGTTATGATTTATGTGCCAATCACGTTTATTTTGTTCTTCTATTATTACTCACATTCACAAGCCTATCAATCAATAATAAGTTTATCGGTTAGTGGCAATGAGTTTCAACCTGCGAATATCATTGAGTTAATCGGTACATTTAACGTATCATTATCAATACAATGTTTGAGCCTATGTAACCAAAATCCTCAATGTCGTACGATTGATTATGAGTCAATATCATACCGTTGCCGATTATATGAGGGACAATTATCAACAGGTGAAAGCAGAACATCTTCTTCAACAACTTCAATTGTTGCCGGGATACGATATGACGATTCAAATCTATATTCATCGTACAATCAGACGTGTGATCAATGTCAACAAAATCATTATCTTGTTTGTGGTACAAATGGAACATGCCAATGTCCGAATAATACGTATTGGAACGGATCAATATGTTTGAATCAGATATACAATGGTTCAACATGTACAACAGATAATATGTGTAGATCAGACATGTCTATAACATGTTCACCCTTCAAACAATGCTCATGTAAGTGAACGCTAATAACTTTTGAAACTGATTTTGCTCAGGAAGGTTCTACAAGAAGCTTTCGTTCAATGATCGATTTGAGAAAGAGCATCATAAGAAACAAGTAGATATTTCCTGTTTTGTCGTGTCTAATTTTTTATGTTTAATTGAAGATAGTCGACGTATAGACTCTCGTTGTAGGTGGGTTAAAATGGAACGAAACAAGTATACTTGTTGCTGGTACGGGCACGGCTGGATCTGGACTTAATCAATTGCATTTACCAGAGTATATCTACTTGGATGACAATAATACATTATATATCAGTGATACATTTAATTATCGGATTATGAAATATTTAAACGGTGCATCAGCAGGAATTCAAATTGTTGGTAATGGAACGGTTGGTTCATTGTCGACTCAGCTTCATAATCCGAGTGCTGTTTACTCTGACATGTACAATAATATTTATGTTGATGATACGTTTAATTATCGTGTTCAGTATTTTGTCAATTCATCAAGAAATGCATCAACGATTGCTGGAGGACTCGGTAGTGGAAGTGCGTTGAATAAAATTGGTCTCTCGTACGGAATGTTTGTTGATAAGTACTCAAATTTGTATCTGTCGGACGAACAAAATAATCGTGTAGTCAAATGGAATTCAACCGCGATGCATGGTGTCGTTATAGCTGGTGGTAATGGAGCGGGCTCGGCATCAAATCAGTTGAATGGCCCCATGGGCATATACATTGACGGTAATAATGACTTATTCATAGCAGACGCAAATAATAATCGGATACAAAAATGGCTCCAAAATACATCGAATGGCACAACGGTAGCGGGTGGTCATGGATCAGGAATAGGTGCCGAACAGTTAAACTTTGCGTCAGCAGTTAAAGTTGATAGTCAGGGCAATATTTACATAGCCGACAGAAGTAATAGTCGTGTCCAACTATGGACAAAAAATGCCGTGCAAGGAATAACTATTCTTGGAAACGCATCTCAGCTACGAAGTCCATTCGATATTATTCTTGATGAGAAAACAGGTGCAATTTATGTTAGTGATCGATCTGCTCATAAGGTTGTAAAGTTTTTATTTTCAACTCAATGCTGATCAGTCAATAAAATCGAAAGAATGACTGGCTACGATGTGAGTTCCTGCGAAATAATCGTAGGCATTAGGTAAACATTCGTTCAGCTGACTAGTTAGTGTGATGAAGGTAGATCAGAAAGTAGGCACAATCCACCAGTTTTCTGCTAAAACAAGTGCAGAAAGTGATCGTTGGTAGATCACAGAATTCAAAAATGACCGTTTTTAGGGATATACAGGCTACAAATTCTGCAGTTTCTACGGACTTCATCGGGGCAAGCATACAGAATCATTTCTCCTCCCCAAAATCAAGTTTTTATCTCATATTTCTGTAGAGAAAAAATTTCTCTTGAACTCCCGGTTTCTGAAGATCGGGTTTTACGAAACCTAGGGTTTCCAGACTGTTTCGCTCAAAGATGAGAAAGTTCATAATTCACTGAAACAACATCACGAATAGGAAACCCCATAATATGATTAATTTTGACCGGTATTGTGACTATGCAATCATAAAACTTTAGAAACGCCTTTTCTGTCCAGCGAATTTCTAGAAATCCTTTCGAAAAACTAACCACTTAAATTTATTTGGTTTTTCCGAAGTTCGTCTTAAAATGATTAAACATCCAGACAGTGGCTTCTTAATGCGAAAGTGCGCCTAACCAAACTTCAAACAGAGAGGAAGCAAAACTTGAAAACATCGACAGAAAAGTCAAGAACTTGTTCTAAAGTACTCTTTTTTTATCTAACTAACGAGTGCGACAGAATAAATGAGCCTCTCAATATCTTTTTCAATTCTCATTGTCAAGACTCAAACTTATTTTTAGAAGATTCTCGGTTCAGTTCTACAAAAACTATATTAAACATTTTTTATACATCGTATCATACGATGTATAAAAAATGTTTAATATAGTTTTTGTAAAGAATTGAACTGAAATCTTTTTAAAAAGGTTTGGGTCTTAGCAATGAAAACCGACAGTGATGTTGGGGAAATGTTGAGGAGCTCATTTATTCTGCCACACCCGTTATTATTTAAATCACACAAAATTTCAGATAACAGAGCAAAATACATTTATGTAAAACATTTAGAAAACGAACAGCAATGCGCTTTTTCATTGGATGACAAAAGTTTAACCCTTTACTATTTGATTCTTTTCGATATCTACAACAGTTTTAGAGGAGGTTTGAAGTATGATATACATAATCGACGTCTCGGTCTTTGAGATCCATATAAGAGGATCTTTTTGCCAAAGTGAAACTGAATTTTTAATAATTAAAATATTTATTTCAGCAAACAAAAGTTTAGTCCTTTTTTCTTCTTTTTGATTTTGTGACCTAGTCAATTTTGTTTAAAAAATCAAAGGATATATAATTCAACAGAAAGTTTTGCGCTTTACATTTTGGCAAGAAGAATGTGCTCTGCAACACTAGCCTAAGTTCCGAATTTTAGAAATTGCTTTTAAGTCAAAAGTTTAGGGAGTGCAATAGTCGATGCAATTTTAAGAACTAAACTTTGAAGAAAATGCATGCTAAACTTTCTTTTTGAAAAATTCAAAATCGGCTGTTTTTATTAAAACTGTTGTACATATCGAAAACATTCAAAAAGAAAAGGGTTAAAATTTTGTCATCAACTTTAGATAAATGAATACTTCAAGCTTTTGGCTCTGAAGGTCTTTATCTGTCTGACATCAAGGGTTAGTCAGATAATATTGCAAAAAACAAACAATTCAATGGTTTTTCGGTAGCTCGTTAAAACCAATTCAATGTTTATTTGGATTTATTCCGATAGTTTGACAATTTTTTAAACAAAATAATACCAAACAGAATATTGTAACTAAGTTTTTGCATAAATATTATTGTAGTTGTAATGTTTCAACAAACTTGAGAGAATCAACATCTCTGAAGATATTTTTATGCATAGAATCATCTGCTCTCATTTCTGGTTTACACATTTGTCTTTTATTGTTGAATTGATGAAAACGATCGATCGCAATATTCATTTGTTTTAAAACTATCGTTTTTCTTGATGCCTTCAAATATTCACGTCCATATCAGTTGTCTATATATTCAAATAAAAATAAAAGGTACTACATCTGTTTGGAGTGTATTATTTATACAGTAGCTATAGTAATATACAGTAGCTCTACCGAATGATTTATCTTTTTATTTTTATTACTCCTGTACCGGCGAAAAATTTGTAGATGTCGGTGTACAGAAGTAAGAGAAAGAAGAAGAGTTAAAGAACCTAGTAAAGAAATTCTCGGACGATAATCGTATACCTTTTATAACTGTTATATAATACCATACAACGTGGATGCTTTCAAATAAGTGCACAGATACTATAGTCAACTAATGTGACTTAGCTGCATAATACTATGTATCAGGTGAATTTTTTATTATGATACATCACGAGAATATATGACTAAAATCGGATAAAGTAAGAGAGGAAAGCTATTGATGCTGAGAAGTAATGATTTTTTTCTTATAATTTTGTAACTGTTGTTGTTGAATAAACTTGCGGTGCCGGTGTTCTTTCACGGCTACTTGAGCCCCTCAATGCATGGGTCAGTTCGTGGATGATGCACACAGCTTCGATTACCACCGATACCTTTTCTGGATATGAGAAAAAATAATCGGGCAGATATATTTCTGCTATGTAACGATCACCGTAATTTTGATCGCTGAATGCATGAACAGTTCCACCGATTACATTTGGAAAGAACTGCTGCAAATTTCCTTCCACAAATATCTCAGTGTTGCTAACGGTATATTCAACGAGTTGAATTTGATCAGGCTGTGGACTATAGAAGAAGTTCGCTAGCACTAAATTAGCGACAGACATACCAAAAAAAAAGTTACTACTGATAACACCGAGTCGATTGCACAACTTCAATCGTTGTACAGAATATAGATACAGAACAGTAAATTTAGTTTTGCAGTTAACTGCAAAAATAAGTCCACATGTTCGAATCTCAGTTTTCAGAACAAAATGCAAGAACCAAGTGAAACTTTGAGCTAGGTGAAATAACCCATTTTTGGTTACTGTCGTTGAAACTTAAAAGGTCGTAACTCGATTAAAACCCATCCAAAGTACTTCACAATATCAAGATATACTCTGTTTTATTCACTCCATCTGATTCTGTACGTAAAATCAATAGAAAACATTATCGTAGTTTTGAAGGTTTCTTGGAAACCTTTCCAAAACCAAAGTATTTTCTGTTGGTTTTCAAAACATTTGATCTTTACGGTATACTGCAAATAAAAGAGAGTATATCGTGATATTTTGAAGTAGCTTGGATAGATTTTGATCGAGTTATGACCTGCAATGTATGTATGACCTCCGGCTTCGCGCACAATATCCGTTGGGCAAACGTTAGATACTCACCAGTTTGTGCTCTCACAAAACTAAGAGGCAAATTCGTTTTTACTTTTCTTGAGGTTGCTGTTGGCTGTATCAGAATATTTGCTGCATGAAGATGAATAAAGCTGTAGTTCACGATTGGTTAACAATGATATTTCAGTTTAGTAGTAAGTTTAATCAGTTTTGCTTTTCATACAAATAAGAGCTTGCATGTATATATTTGCAAATAATCGTCAGGCATTAGCTGCAAAAAGAAAACAATATACTACTTGTTCGTCAGTCCTAACAAAGGTAATAGTCTTCTTCTTACCTGACTATGCATATTTTCCCTATTAGAATAGTAAAGTGTCTGTACATACATACTGTAATTTCATGTCGAAAGAAATCAGTCTGATCATATGGTCGAAATGACCTCGAGATAAGGGCAGAATTAACGCTTCAAAGTATAGAAATCAGGTTGCCCATATAAAAAAATGATTATCCGAATGATTATCTAAATAATTAAAAATGATTAACCCCTGATGAAATTTATGCAAGAAGTTTTACAAATCACGTCGTTATAGTGGTGCCACTTGTAAGTATTCTGAAATTAACATCTTTTCGGTTATCCAAAATTTTGTGATAACCATTTCTTATATGGGCAATCTGGTTTCTATACTCTGAAGCTTTAATTCTGCCCTTCATAAGAGGTCATTCGTTATATGTAGTTATCTGAGAGTCAGAGGAACGAAATATCATACAATACATTCTTTCCTCACAGTAAAGTTGTGTCTCCTTTCTTTCGATAAAGAAAGCCATCGATACGAACATTATCAATTTTTTTTTTATTTAAGCGCTTTTTGTTGAAAAAGAAAAAAGAACGGTTGCGCAAGCGGCTTTCGCCATATGTGCGCCTTAGAATGTATAAAAAACAACGGATAATGAGCTTAAAAGGAGAAAGGAAGAAAAAGGAAAAGCGAAAGCTCACGCAAGAGATGGTCATTCGGGTTTGGGATATTCACTTCTACTGTTCTACTTGTACTGGCAGCGAGAGGAAACGAAACAAACATCTCCCACGAACTCCCAATAAACTAGCCACCGACACACAAGGCAGGAAGCTTAGACCGGATAGTAGATCGGTTCTTTCTAAAACGTACGTTGAGCAATCTAATAAATAGTGCTTGGCTATTTCATTAGCTCCCAGGCATGCACAAAGACGGGATGAAACACATCTTTCAGGGTGTAAATTGGCATTTAGTTGGTGATTTCCACATTTCAATCGCATAAAAAGTGTTTAAGCTTGTCGTGATGAAAAAATGAGGCTTTTTTTAAATCCAAGCATTCTGTTTCAGTTTTTTACGTAATGGTTTCGCCTTTAATAAGTATAATGTTGGATCTAATTCGTTCCATTTCTTAGAGAGTAAAGTAAAAAGAGAGCTTTGGTGCGTTAGAGCTTGCGTGCATAGGTTGCACTATGATTAGCATGTTACTTCTTAAATTATGTACAACATTAATTTGTTGTTGCTGAATTTGAGATCGCAGATATTCTGGGGCAAGGCCATGTACAATTATAGAGTAGAAAACGATCTGAGTGATATGAAAGTGTTCTTTAATGGATAGCCAACCTAATACATTAGAAAATTTGGTGCTTGCTCCGCGCTGAACCAAATTTGGGCGCCAAATGCAAAAT